CTTGATGAGTGTTCTGATGATTCTCTGATTGTCGAAGATCTCCAACACGCCGTTGTTTTGAATGGCGTTGTTGTCCAACGTGGTATTTCTCTGATTGATGATGACCTCCGAGGTGGTACCCCTCTGATTCATGATGATCTCCAGTCTGAATGTGAGATGTCGATGACCTCTTCATCTCGATGAGTGATCTGACAGATGATTTGATTGGTGATGCTGTATCTTGGCGCGATGATGTACCAGATGATTGTAGACAGGCATCTTCCCGTTGATTTCCTCTGATGATTGCGATGACGTAGGACTCAACCCAATTCACCGGAGTCGTAAATTCCTGGTAAATTAGATCGAGCTTCCTGGATGAATTACTGTTGGATAAGCTTGCTAGAGCTCTGTGAATCTAAACCATGTACCACGTGATGATGAGTGACGTGAAGTTGAAGAGCTGATAATGGATCTGTCGTAATAAGTGTTGATCATGCCGCCCGCCATGCCGATAGCTTCGATTCGTTTTTGATGACTCGAGAAACCTGCTATGACGAAGACTGATGATTTTGCCGAAGTTGGATTCCCCTGATGATTCGACCGTTGAGATCTCTGGAGAGTTGAGAGAGTCGTAAATGCTCTCAATCGCCGTTGACCTTGTAGATATCCTTGAAGATGAGTTACCTCGGGAAAGAAACAATGGATGAGGGCGGTATCATTTTCGAAATTAATAGAAGATAAATGATACTTTACCTCTCCATCCAAATGTTTCCTGCGTTCCCGGGCTCCGAGTAGATGATCCATTGGATTGATGTTCTCTCGATGATGAATTTTCCAACGTTGAATTTGGATAATTCTCCGAAATTTTGTTGACCCTGCCAACGTCCTTGACGTCTCTCTCAAGCTTGTTCATTCGTTGAGTTGCCCTGCGTTGATAAACTTGATGACTTTCTGAAGACGTAGTGATGTGGTTTGAACGCGTAGATTTCCGAATTTTGATGAATGCGTTGAGACTCCGTGAGAGAGATGATGATACCCGCACGTTGAACGCCGATATACGTAATAGGAGAGTAGCGAGAGTGGAGATGCCTCCTCGACTTACGCCGATGAGGTTCGCTGCCGAAAGTCGGACGGATTGAGAATGAAGGAATCCGATGAGTATCAAAATCAGCCGAGTGCCAACGATGATTTTCAATTCGCGCAGCGTACGATGTAAACAAACTTCGATGAGGCCACAGCACTAATCCTCTGAGGAATTTATTCCGGATGAATAGCACTGAATTTTTTCTGGTGATTGTCCACGTTGATTGTCTTGTGAACCCGGAATTGCCTCGTGGCACACAGAGCGTCTATTTCACAAACGCGTTGATTTTCCACACGTGATACTGCACTTCACCACATTGTCTCTTATCCCTGCCCTTGATGACTATCTACTTTCAACACCGCACTTTTACACTCCACTATCCGGCTCGAAGGACCAATGTTAGAAATCAATCACGATTTGATGAGCCGGGTGGTCGGAAGGAAAAGTGAGGTTCGGGTTTACGGGTTGATAATTAGCCGGAGGTAATTTGATGAGTTTCCTTTAATAAACAAATAATTATCCACTGAAAATTACATAACACAGAGTTTAATAAATAGATGATTTCCGAGTGGTCTGTATACGAATAAACAAAAAAAGATGATATTCGATATTGTCTGATAATAGGTAGGATAATTTTCCGGCACTTTCACTCGATGAAGTTCGATGGCGTACTAAAAGATACGACACGCACGATCATCCTCGTGCGTGTTCGTCGATGCCCGAAGGTTGCCGAGCGAGCAAAATTCGACATTTAGCCCGACTGAGGGATGATTTTCAACAGTACATTTTGAACATCTATAGAATGTTCCGTCGGAATATTTATGGAACATGATTACAATCCAGCGGAATGTTCGTGGAACCTATAGAGACTTGAATTTTGCTCACTGGGTAAAAAAGCTAAATTAAATTTCTATTTCCATTTTTGTTCGTATCAAATGAATAATTTTATAAACGTAGACCAATGGTTTTTTCACGCACGTTTACTTTATTATTTTGAATTGGAATCAATGTTTAGATGATTTTTAGGGTTATAAAAAAATGTTAAGATGTAGGAATTGAGGATGTTGTGGGAAGGTTCAATTCACTAACAATACGATTACGGTAATTAATCACGACATGTTTACAAGACGTTAACTAATATATACAAATGTGGTGGATAGGTGTGATCCCGTAAGCGGTCCGTGACCTACTGTCTAAAGTGAGGTCTATCTCAATTCGTAGAGCATTCGAATTCCGTACATGGAATAAACCCGAAATATACGCGTGAAATAATAGGTGCAAGAGAGAGAGAGATTTTTTTTCTCACGGGGAAAAATGCATATACGCACACGCTCTGGTTTGGAAATTCCCAGAGCATAGTGCCTCACTCGGTCTGGTCTGGATGGTGGCGACGACGAGCTGCCAAGTTTGGTGAGAACTAGCTTGTTTTAGCTTCGCGAATGTGCAACCAATATGGACTAAAAACATACCCTTGTTACCTGCCTCCTATTTCCCCATGGAACCGCTGCTAAACATTACAGCACGGGGGGAGAACTCAGCCGTAGCTCCTCCTTCGGCCAATCGAAGTCAGCGCTTCTTTCATCTTATTGCTTCCTCTTTCACTTATCTCTGATTTGCCTGCTGTTTTGCGAAGGCGCTGGTTGCCTCCCAGGCTGTCTCTGATGAAAGCATTGCTTCTACCAAGTTATCAGACTCAATCGTCTCTCCAAGTGCTGTCTCGAGGGTGCTGCGGGGCACGTTGAAGCGTGGAAAAACGAAGAACGCATGTTCTTCGGAGACTCCTGTGCAGGCTGGGCACTCCGGCGATTCCTCATATTTGAACCTATGAAGATATTGCCGGGAGCACCCGTGTCCTGAGAGCATCTGTGTGAGATAGTAGTTGACTTCTCCGTGTGTTCGTTTGACCCATGCATCCAATTTCGGGATCAGGCAGTGAGTCCATCTCCCATTGGTTGAGGCATCCCACAGCAACTGCCATCGATGCAGATTGTTGTTCCTCTCATCCGTCCTCAGCTCAGATGCGCTCAGCTTTGTTGATCTTTTTCGCCGGTAGAGACATCGTCGTTCCTCGGCAAGTACTCCTATCGGCAGCATACCGGCGATGACACACACGGCATCTTCTGACACCGTGCGGAATACGCTGGCAACTCTAAGGGCGCTCAATCGATAAACTGACGCTACCTTCCGTCGCGCATGCTGGATCAAGAGTACGTTCGCCCAAATGGAAATGCCATATGTGAGGACCGACGTGAAAACTGATGGCAGCAACGCTCTTCTCTTTTGCTTTGGCCCTCCGATGTTCGGCATGAGTCGTGGAAGGGCCGTGGAAGTTAAGCCGGGTGTCAATTATCACTCCCAGGTAACGTAGCGATGGTTAGGACGTGATTTCATGATTCCCGACATGCAGCGTGATGGTTTCAATCTTCTGTCGGTTCGTGATCAGCACAGCCTCCGTCTTATGTTCTGCCAAAAGCAGTCCCACTAAGTACATCCATTGCTGAATTTTGTCATATGCAGTATCAAAAATGTAATTGATCTCCTCCAGGCGCTTTGCAACGATTACCAGAGCTACATCGTCCATAAACGTGACGAGTGTAGCCTCCTTGAGTAACGTTAACATCAGAAGATCGTCGTACATAACGTTCCACAGGAGAGGGCCCAGCACTGAGCCTTGGGGAACACCACCAGTGACTCTGTACTCTTTTCGGCTGGTGTCTGTATCGTAATTCAGGACGCTATCGGTGAAGTAGCTTCGCACCATCCTCTGCAGATATCCTGGCAGCTTCAGATTTGAGAGGGCCTCCATGATGCAGTCCCATCTGGCGGAGATGAAGGCATTTTTGATGTCCAACGTTACTACCAGACAGTACTGCTTTGCGCCCCATTTCCCCCTCGCGCCAGAGATTGCATCCAGTGCAATAGAGACGACTAGGTTGATGGCGTCAAGCGTGGAACGACCTCTACGGAAACCTTACTGGTTGTCAGCCAATTATGGTTCGACCACTTCCTCGATCCTCTGGTGAAGTATGCGCTCCAGAATTTTGCCAGCTATGTCCAGCTGTGTCCACGTGGTTGGGAAAACCCTCTCCTGCAGACACGCATTACAGACACTCAGGGAGACTCCTGGCGCTGCGTTGATTGCAACCTTCAGGGCGAAGTTCAGGATTCCATCCATTCCTGGTGCCTTGGCATTCCCGAATCTGCCACAAGCTTCCAGCAGCTGATCGAATGTGACTGGTGGGATCACCTCTGTATCGCACTTCTCGGTGAAAAAGTCGAGCACCGGTTGTTATGGGAACAGCACCGCCACGATCTTCGCCAAAAGCTAAGGACACGTAGGCGATGGAATCGGCTGACTTCTCAGCCGCTTCATGACCACGCCGTAGGGTCGCCCCCACGGATCTGCCTCGACTTCGTTAAGGAGCTCATTCCAGCACTGTCTCTTGCTACCCTTGATCGCCTTATTGAGTGTCCGGCGTACTTCCTTGTACCTGATTTCCAGTTCCTCGTAGTTTGGCTTCTTCCGGCCTCGTTGTGCCTGCCTCCTCGCTCGAATGCAAACCTTTCGGAGGGTCACGATGGCGTTAATCCACCAGTACACCTATGGGAGCTTGTTTGCACTATGCTTCCGGGGCATAGTTGCATGGCAGGCTTCGGTGACTTTACTTATAAGTTCCCGCACTTTGTCTGTGACATGGCTCCGAGATCATTACGAGATCAGGCTTCAGCTCCCGCACCGACTGTGCAAGAAGGTCGTGTGCAGTTTCACAGTGGTTAAAGTTGAGTTGAAGTACTCTCATCATCGATCTTTCGATAATGCCTGGAATACCTCCTTTTTATGCTGGGCATCTACCGCTGCCAGCAATGTGAGCGCAGTTGTCTATGTGGCCCTTCGCTACGCAGAAGACGCATTTGGAGGCTTTCTCGCATTTTGTCTCTGTTAACCGTCCTCCGGATCTTCTCCACGCACTGTCGGGACTGACAGGCTGTCGCTTGAGGATATCAGAGTATGAAGCTTTGTTCTTCGGGCGGATGGTCAGCGTGTCAGGTCTTGCCGCTCGTTTACTCTGCTTTGAAGAATGCTCTGTAAGCTACTTCTTCTTCATCTTTCTTTAGCTTACTGTCACTCTGACTTCTTAGGAAGCTGCGGTTACGCAGTGGGCAGCGATGGTGCTATCGTCTCCTTTCGTTTCTTAGACTCCACTTCCGGATAGGTGCGCTTGCGCCGCCTCCCCGTGACTGTTTTCAGAGAATTTGGCCTTAGGTATTCTAGGTCTTCCGCCTCGGTGTCCTCCCTCGGTGTTTCAGAAAAAGTCCGAGTGTGGGACGACGATACTGGTGTCCGAGATACGACCGGAGGAAAGCGATACTGAGGGCTTTTTTGCCTTGGTTTAGGAGCCTCTGTCTCCTTCAGTCTCCTGAAAGAAGATGTGATGGCCGCCAACTGACTTTTAATATCCTTATGGACGTTTGGCTTCGGGTTAGCGAAGTTGTACCGGTCGCTGATCAGCTAGTCAAGCCGATCCCATGCCTGCGTCCTCTTCATTTCCGCACTTGCATCAAGTGCTGTTTGTTGGTCATGCTATCCGCTCATTCCTCCTCGATCTCCACCTGTTTTTGTTTTATAATTTGTCCACATTCTGTTCCCACGAGTACCTAGAGAAGTATAACAGTCCACTCCTAACAGAGCCCCGGATGTTGGAGTAAGGCCACTTAATACACCTGGGGTGGGACCTAGTGCTCCAAGGACCACCGTTCGCGACGCCACCTGGTGCCTTCCAGAACTTACCACGGTGAACACCTTGACATTAGGGACAGGCAGTTGTAGGACGCCCAACTTGCACGCCTCTTTTGGAGTTGGGCTTCTCTCCTAAGAAGTCCTGAAAACGACAGACTTCAGCTTGCACTGCTTCTTAGGTTGGGTATATCCCTTAAGCCCCTCCACCGTCGACAAGAGAGAGAGAGAGAGAGAGAGAGAGCGAGAGAGAGAGAGAGAGAGAGAGAGCGAGAGAGAGAGAGAGAGAGAGAGAGCGAGAGAGAGAGAGAGAGAGAGAGAGCGAGAGAGAGAGAGAGAGAGAGAGAGCGAGAGAGAGAGAGAGAGAGAGAGAGCGAGAGAGAGAGAGAGAGAGAGAGAGCGAGAGAGAGAGAGAGAGAGAGAGAGCGAGAGAGAGAGAGAGAGAGAGAGAGAAAGAGAGCGAGAGAGAGAGAGAGAGAGAGAGAGAGAGAGATTACGCGTTCTCGAGGACCCGTGGCATTTTCGCCAAAAAGGGCCAAAGTTTAGAGTCATCCAGTGATTTTGATTAGAATCACCCTATTGCAAATCTTGCGGGTGATCGAATAGCTCCGGTTGAGATACCGGCGCTCCAATTCAAGTTACATTTCACGGGGATTATGTGGGTATCTTTTTTGTTGGTTGAAAGTCGTCTGGGGCAAACGCAACCCTAGCATCCAACGGTTTACCAGGTTGCTTTAAGGTTTGTTATGGCATATTAAACTTAGCATTTTTTCTAAGGAAGAAATTTGTATATCAACCCCGTGAATCCCGCAGAATTATGTAATTATTCCGATAATCATCAATTTATTTCTGGTCTAGGATGATTAATTATTGAGTTTTTAGTCAAGTCAATTGTTAGGAAGTGGTTAAGGTAAAATTGATGTAGTTACGTCAATGTATTATCCCGATATCATTTGATGGTTTTGTCGAGGTCTTGTTCCCCTTGGGGATGTGTCCCCACCAATCAAAATCATTTTGATCCGCACTCTGGGATGCCTCGAGACACTCTTGAGTTGGGTCAGTTCTGTGTCACGTGTTGACCCAAGCGGATCATAAACGTGCAGTGCAAACATTTAGCGTCCACAGGGATTATTAGCGGCCCAAGATGGTGAAAAATACGCCGAAAAGGGTTAGGAAAAAGCCAAAAGTATCGTTCGACCTCGAGGGCCTTAAGACACGTGAGTCTCGTTTAATCGGTTGAAAACGGCTTGAAGGTGTGATAGAATTTTAATATCGAGGTGTCGATCTCCCCTATGATTGATTGTCAAATGTTTTTCCCCTTTATGGCTCGCCGCAGAACTCTCTCTGTACCTACAAGCAGAGCTCCCTCTTTACGTGGCTTTTCGCGCATGTAAAATTCCGTTTGTGTATAAATTGGACTAACTTGTTCAAATAATGAGTGAAAATTATGATTTGGTCATCGGTGTCTTTGGAACACTCTCCCGAGTATTTCGACTCAGGGTTTTTTTAATTTCACTCTACGATTTTCTAATTTTAATGAGTTAAGTAGTGATGAATTTCTGAGATCCCGCTGTCGTGCCTGAATATACGCGGGATGGTGGGTTTATCTTTCCTCTCTCTCTCGTTCCGCTGGGTGTCTACACACCTCTCCCCAATTCGCGGAATTCTCGAGCGGTCGAGGATTAACGAACGTTTTCCTATATTTCGCATCATCCTCGTGTTTTTCATCAACACCTGAGGAATTTGATTCCTTTAACATTGCAGTGGAATCAATCGGTAGTGAATTAGTTTCACGACCATGTATTTCAAGTTACGTTTAATATTTTCGGTTTTGTTAGAACGGTCCTGACTATGATTGAAAATTTTCCTTTTCTTTTGGAAATTATGTAAAAGTATGTAAATTATTTATTTTTGGAAATTTCAATAGTGGAACAAGTAAGGACAATGTCGATCTCATTTTCTTGTAGTTTTGACCGCCCAATAACCCGCTTTCGCCTGACATCCACCCCTCTCTCCACAACGTAGCACACTGTGCGACCCGAGGACCGTTAACTTTCCCCAAAAATTGAGTTTACTCCCTGAGTTTACAAAAAAAAAAAAAAAAAAAAAAAAAA